AACTGGTCGTCAGTCTTATGGGCAGACAAAATTTGGGTAGAGGATGGAAGATATTCTAGAGAATAGGCGACAAGGAGTATTCATACTTTCCTCTTTGAGAAGATAGTAACTTGATGCTCTTACATTATGAGCTAGACGTCCCAAGAACACAATGCTGATTGTGTTGGAGAAAAATCGAAGAATAGGGTCGGCTGGATGTTCTGGGGTTGCTTCGCAGGGCCAGAAAAAAACCCCTGTTTATTTTGGGAGAAGGAGCGGGGATCCATTAACTCCCAAAAATATTGCGAGAAAATAGTTCCTCTTATCAATGGCGTGGTCTCGATGAGACCTTGGCTTTCCTTAATGCAGGATAATGCTCCTGCTCGCAAAGTAGCAAGTACAATGGAAGATATGAACCAGAGGCCCATTCAACCGATTTTCTGGCTGGCCAACTCGCCTGATCTTAACCCAATTGAAGCTGTTTGGAATAGGATGAAGGATTACATCCAGCGTCATCATCCGAATCTGGGTTGCGGAAAGCAGCGAACTCAAGATATTCTTTGCAAGATTGTAAAGGAGGCATGGGATTCCGTGTCTTCCGAAGATCTTATGAGATTCATTCAGAGTATGACAGCAAGATGTCAGGCTGTGGTAGATGCGGATGGGGGACGGACCAGATATTAAGGCCTGAAAATTTTCCAGCCACAAATTCAGATCCAAGGTTAGGATAAGACTGTGGCTCTATTTTGTAATTCGAAAACTTTCGAACTCTTGTTAAAAAAGTTATAAAGTCAAGTAGCAAAAATGCACAAATGTTACGCAGCCGATCATTATACCAATTAGCATTAGTACGGAGGAAAGACCCACTACAAACTATGGTGTCCAGAAAAAAAATTGTCACCTAGATTTTTCGAAAATTTGCACAAATACGGGGGCTAACCCTAATATAGAAGGTGACAATGCCTAAGTAGTCTTAGTTTGCACGCTAAAACCCCTGCCGAAGCCTACAGTCAGACCCCTGTTAAGACGATATCTTTTTAAGAACGAACTTCGTTCCAATACATTTACCGATTACAACCGGCAAAGACGAATTCTTCACATTCCAGTGGTGCCGGTGTAATCGCTCAGTATGCTCTGAATGTCTAGGATAGCCAGGAAGAATCGCAGCCGAATCGAAGCCGAAAGCAACCTCAAACATATCTCCATCTGACGACTTCTCGACAATGCCTCTCATCATTATCGCCTGAGTCCTCAACCCATCTCTAACCACGCATCATCTCGCCTCAACGACCAATAAAGAAGTTGCTCCAATTGCAAACAGGAGCTTGCCCCATTGATTACCGGCCATCGCCTAATATATATTTACGACACTATTTATATCCGTAAGGTGGAAATCAAGTCGAAAATTATAGAGCCTGGGCCTTGGCTTATGGGGGACTGTTGCTCTAATGGGACAAACAACTTGAAGAAGAACACGCGGCTGAGATGTGGAGCGAGAGGGGGAACAGGTCTCTGATTACCATGCTGGGACTGACATTTTCGAAGGGTTTTCAACTTTGGAACGGTTGTGAGCGCCAAGACCGAGATATCAGCTAATTAGCCAGGAGGTTTTCTTTTGTCAATGATTCAATGGCTCTCTCCAATGCCATGGACGGTCCAGAAAATTTTAGGCTAAGCTACCAAACAGCAATCACGCTCTGTCAAGACTTTTCTGAAATTTCAGCACGACCTTCGGGAAGGAGTTGGAAGGAGGCTAGAAAGGCAGAGTGTGAATTCTCCGAGGTACCCACAAGCCTGCAGCGCCCAGCTGGCCAGCCTTTTCGAACGCTTCAGAAGGGTCACTTTGTCTTCGGATTTAGTCCTAATGTCGGCATTAGGAGAGCTCCGCACCCAGCGGTTCTTGCGGTTTTTCCCGGCTGCCATACACCCGCAAATGGGTATCGTTTCGTTGGCTGGAGAGGGGAGATAATAAAGGGCAAAGGGCTCCTCCAAGTATATGATTGAATGAGGGGTTGTGAGGGGCGGTACTGTTTGAGTGGAGCTGTATGGGAGGCATAGGAGGGGATATACTACTGGTATAAGTATCCTTGGCCTGTAGGCAGAAAGGACCTGCATGTCCTACATAGTCATAGACTCAGACAGGACAATTAAATGAGAAAAAATAAATAATAATAATTTACCGATTACACGATTATCGTTCTTCAACCTCTGAATATCGTCTTAACCAGGGTTTTTTTGCCAGATTGGTGCTAATAATGCCGCCATAAAAGGGAATTTCTGTGGAGCAACGATATCCCCTACAAGACGATATTTTTCGCGGCCCCGATTATATCGTCTTGACAGGGGTTTGACTGTACTACAAACTTGACACAGTGGCGCCACAGTATTTCTGTACTTAACGGTAATTAGCCTGATCCGGCCCGGCCCCACTCATTCTCAAGAATCAGTAGCAGTGCGATAGGTGACATGTACCTAGCACGTAAACAAACAGAACAAAATAGAATCAACAACTTTTAAATAACGACACACTGTGACATTATATGAATCGCTTTCTTTGCTTACCCGCATTATTTATATTCTGAGAGGCTCATAATGATACACATTAATTATAACCTACGCTACTGACACGCTTAATACGTATGGGTGAGAATAATTGCTCAAGACCTATCGTCAGTCATCGCAATGAATCTCCCGATATCTCCACGGAGTTTGTAAAGCCGACAATGGGACCTATATTCACCATGAAGGTGTCCATTTTAGTCGAAGTAGAACTCACTCCACTTCTAAAATGGCATTACCTAGTTAAGCTACGCTACTTTATAGCGCTGTCTCTGTCGTATTGTTTGTAACACTTCACCTTAATCATTGATTTTTCTGAAGGTGCGAAGTACGGAGGCCATTAGAATTAGGCTAGAAAGTTAGAGATTGAATCTCACAGCTACACGCAAGTCCGTAGTGCCCGACTGGCGGATTTTTCGGAAAGCTTTCGGTGCATATCTGTATCAAAGGGCTTAATGCTGATGTCGTAATTAAGTGATCTCCGCACGCATTGGTTTTTAAAGTATTTCCCAACTTCTACACGAGCAAACGCTCTGTATTTCTTTGCTCGGATTTGGATGTTAATTAAGGCCGAATGCCCCTCTAAGTGTATGATCGAATGGATGCATAACTACATAGCTGAATCCACATGAAATGCTAAAAAAAGGAAGATTAAATGAAGACTAGGCGGAAATGGCGAAGATAAATGAGTGCAAGCAAGGAGGTATGATTAAGCACAAACTTTCCCAGGAATAGCGACACTTGGCCTTTGGGCAGAGAAGACCTATCCATTCTACGTTGTCAAACATAGAATACAGAAATTATAGCAGTACGATTAATGTCGGGCTGTATCGAGTTGCTTGTTATCAAAGAAGTGAGCCCTACCCCGCTAGAATAACTGTACAGCCCTGATAATTTCGAAGACTGTACTTATTTCGGCGGCATCTCCGAATTTACCAGCGAAATGTTCTTTCAGCGCCAAGTTCCGTCAAATTTCGCAATACCAAATAAGCTGGCCCACGATGCAATGAAACGAGACTCTCTGCCAATTAGCTTTTCGTTCATATCGAAATTCAATCTGACCAAAGCCTCATGCAGTCTACAAATACGAGCTAGCGCACAAATTTTGGAGGCATTTCTTTAGGATGGACGTGAGAGAAACCAGGATAAATTTTCTACATGATGCAGAGAGGGGTATCTTCTCCACGGATGTGAAATTTTGAATTCTAGCAAATAGTTTTACAAATCTGGCATTATATGCGCCGATATATCGATTGATAACTTTCAGGCAATGTCAGGCGCAGGTTCACTAGGCGCAGGACTCGAGGCGTAGGAGAGGGCATAGCGTACGATGTACTGACGAAGGACGCCTCGTGGTAACGCGGAGGGCTTTCTAGAGAAGTGGTAAAAGGGAAAGCGGGGAGTCGTTCTAGATAGAGGGGCCGGAGGTGACAGTAGGTCACTATAGTTGGCAGAGGACGAGAGTGAGATGTGATTAGAATAATGTAACTATTCCTAAAGACAGAAAACAAAGCGTGAAGTTATCAGACTCGGAAATGGAAACTACATAGGTGCCCTCGCTAAGCAATAAAGACTAGTGGGATTAAATAAGGAACCCATAAATCCTGCCTGAGGCATTTCTCAAGAATCCTTACAGGCAACAATATTAACACTGTCTGGCTGGATGGTGTGATAGTTTATCACCTGGGACGGTCTCTAAAGTAGATTCTGCACAGCTTGGACATATACCCTACACGAAACAGGAGATAACCGGTTCTTATCCTGCAAAACACAACTACTTATCTTGCAGCGCTGCTAAACATGGATGGTGAAGACATGTTTGGATTACCATAGGTTTTGAAATTCCCTTCGATGGGTACTTACGGAGGAGAGTCGACTGTCTGTGTAAGCAAGCATACCTTGTAGTAGTACTTGCGAGTGAAATACAGAGCATGAGTGTCTCTAACGTCAAAAGAGCCATTCAACATGTACACATAGTATAGATCATGTGTCATGGCTAGATAGTTGCATACGCAATTTAAAATCGACGCCCAAACCATAGGGCTTGACCCTCACTGTCCATGAGAACATAGTTAAAAAATTTTAAATTAGAAAGGAAAAAAATGTAGCTAGTATCTTATATGTAGATTCTAGGAGTCCTCTATAGTCATTGACTCAGTTAGGACTATAATATAAATCTAATCTAATCTAATCGAGGCCCAAAATGGGACAAGACCTAAGAGTCAGACATATGATAGCCAACCACACCATCCGACCATCCCTGTTCCAGTCGAAGGTAAGTCTCTAGGCTCATACCTGTTTTGCTATAATCACGTGACGGAAGACCCGTACTAAAAATCATAAATCGAAGTGTCGATACAACAGACATTTACGTTATCTAGAAACTCTCGCATTTCTTCGTCCAAATTAATTCTCCTATGGTGAAATCACGCGAAAAAATACTTATTTGAAAGTTTTTGAGAATGACTCAAAACCATGCACCAAGCCCAACCTCCTCTAGCGGTCAAGTCTTGCCTTCAACCTCTCGGCCACTTGGGTTAAAGCGAACTATGCAGCAGGCATTTGATGGTATATATCTCAAGATTGATTTTCAGTTGCATTTACGCGGTCCCATGATGTGTGCTTAGATCAAGTCAAAAGCAGATACAGGATTGTAAAATCCGATAAAAATACACTAGCTCCCCTTTGTTAGATAAGCACTTTGGAGATGCTTGCTGATAAAATTTAGACTCGGGAAATGAGTGCATTACTCCTAAGTTTAGATATCAGAGTAAGGTTCGTGTAATGGAACGATACAAAGTCATTGGTTTTATCAGTAGTGGTACGTATGGCCGCGTTTATAAAGCACATGGTCGCCAAGGTCAACCAGGCGAGTTCGCCATCAAGAAATTTAAGCCAGGTATCTTATATATGTCTCATTTGTCAATTGCTTGATAATTACTGCTTACACTTGATAGATAAAGAGGGGGAGCAGGTACAGTATACTGGCATCTCGCAGTCTGCTATTCGAGAGATGGCTCTATGTTCTGAATTAAGCCACCAGAATGTTATTAAACTAGTTGAAATTATCCTTGAAGATAAATGTATCTACATGGTGTTCGAATATGCAGAACACGATCTGCTTCAAATTATCCATCATCATACTCAACCAACTCGTCATCCAATTCCGCCTTCTACAGTAAAATCTATTATGTTCCAACTTTTGAATGGATCACACTATCTTCATGTAAATTGGGTCTTGCACCGAGACCTAAAGCCTGCTAATATCATGGTCACAATTGGAGGAGAGGTAAAAATCGGGGACTTGGGACTGGCTCGGCTTTTCAACAAACCTCTTCATTCCCTTTTTTCAGGCGACAAAGTTGTCGTGACTATTTGGTACCGGGCACCAGAGCTTCTACTTGGTTCGCGACACTACACTCCTGCCGTCGATATGTGGGCTATTGGCTGTATTTTTGCCGAACTTCTCTCTCTTAGGCCAATATTCAAGGGCGAAGAAGCAAAAATAGATAGTAAGAAGACTGTTCCGTTCCAACGAAATCAGATGCAGAAAATAGTTGAGATTATGGGGATGCCCACCAAAGAAAAGTGGCCACTTTTGATAAAAATGCCTGAATACAGTAATCTAGCTACTCTATCCTCAGGGCATATTCCTAAATCTGGATCACTTTTAGAGAAATGGTACTATAGTACCATTAACTCGACTCAGTCCTCTCCCGCATCCAATGTCTCCTTGGGTGTCGAAGGCTATAAATTACTGTCTGGGCTTTTAGAATACGACCCCGAGCGGAGGCTCACAGCGCAGCAAGCATTGCAACATCCCTTTTTTAGCACTGGGGATAAATTTAGCAATAACTGTTTTGAAGGTATCAAGGCGGAATACCCACACCGGAGGGTCAGTCAAGAAGATAATGATATTCGCTCCTGCAGCTTACCTGGCACCAAAAAAGTAGGTCCAGTGGATGATTCAAGACCAGCTAAACGATTAAAAGAATAAAGTAGAGAAATCTGAACACAGTTCAATTTTCTTGTTAACCTTCAATTACTACTTGCTCGGAATTTTAAATGGGGTAATGTCCTATTTTTTATCTTGAGTGAGCACACCATGTCTGCTGACAAATTGGTCTTTCGTTACCATGCACCATTTCGAGCTCCAACACTTACTATTCGTAAATTTTCTATTCCAAGAGACGAGGACCATCAAAAAGTATCCATGAAAAGCTATACAGGCCGTAGATTAATTAAATTGGACCACAAGATTGTAAAAACAGACTAAACGAATACAGATGATAACAGTCAGTACGTTTTTAATGGTTATATCTTCTTCAAAATGATCTAACCTCTTTCCTATTTCTGCCTTTCTAAAAGCTGATGAAAATAATATACCTCGATGTGGTTTGTTTAACATCCTAAGCCGCAGCGCTTAATATCTTAAGGATACTGGAATATTAAGCTTACTGTGAATCAGTATCTACATATCTACTATATCTGTACCATCTGACCTACCCCTATGCCGCAATCATCTCGTAATAAGAGCTAGAAAAAAAGATTTGAGTAAAGCAGTTATGATTTTCGACAAAGTAATTTATTACAGCGATAAAATATGTTTATGTAAATATGAACGAGTTCAAAGTTAGGAAATAGCACGGTAAAAAGAATGAAAAGAATATTTGGAAAACACACGAGTTTAACTTGTAGAGATATACCCACTCGCTCCACTCCTGACGCCGAATAACGTGACATATATCTAGATCAATGAATCTTTCACAAGAGAAAAGAATCTATCCTACAACTTTAAAGAAAGTCAGATTAAATCCTAGACTATTCACTTTGACAGGGTAATTAGACCTCAAGACTGAGTCGAAGAAACCTAAGCGAAAGGCTCTAGTTAAAATTGATTCCAGTGATAAGTAAATCTAGATTAAAGGAAACAAATGTAGATCACTCAATATTCATGGGAAAAATGAAAGTTGTACCAAGTTTGTGAGCATGAGTTATTAAAAACTCTATTTTCAGAGATCACTAAGGAAGATAATTGAAGCGAAGAACGTTTGAATTCTCGAAAGCATCGAAGAATAAGAACTAGGATACCTAGAAGACGAAAGATACCTAGAGCGAATCGAGACTGAATCTAAGAGAGAAGAAAGCAACTAAAGTGACTGGATTCTAGGAAGCTCTAATGGACTGGAAACAAAGCATTAATATCTTATTAATCGATACTGGGGTTGTCCAATTGTATATGACCATCGACCATCATATGACCTGATGGATCTCGTTATAACCTGATATCTACGTATTTAGATAAAATTATTGTTGAAGATTTCTAACTTAACTGTATTACGTTTCAGGCTACTTTTATTATGAGTCATGATATCACTATGAAAATTGTGACTAGTTTTGATTTGGCGTTTGGTCCTTCTATTCATATCTGGGTATATCGCATATTAAGCAGGTATTTGACTCAAGTAGAAAAATATAGGCTGAAACCCAATCCCATAACGTTGGTGAGTTTAAAAAATATTATCCCTCTACACGGTTGATGCAGGAATACTAGGAGCGGATTCGATTAAGTATGGAGTTAAGCGGAACGTGTGTTTAATAGCACTCTCTAGAAATTCTTCTACCTAGATCCTACTATTTTATCGCTGCTAGGTCCATTTATGGAGGGCAAGACTGAACACCTGTACGAGGTGTCCTCTACGAACCTGGGAGTGAAATATTCTTCCAGAGCCAAGTTCAGTCAAATATTGCAATATCAAAGTTGGCCCACGAGGCAATGATTCAAATGACTTCGCCATATCAATCTTTCACTCCCAAAGAGTCCGATTCTCAACTAAGCTTCATCAAGTCTACAAGTACGACCTAGTACATCCTCATCACAATGACCATGGCTCTCGTCGACTTTCTCTGGCCTCAATTGACCACCAAATACACGCCCACGCCGATATTTATACCCGACGGAGGAAGCAAAGCGTGGAGCACAAATCTGGGAGATAGCCCTTTGGGATGGACTTCAGAGGGATCAGGACAAGTTTATAAGATGATGCAGAAGAGGGATACGTTTTCGACGGGCATAAAATTTCGAATTTTGGCAAGAGTTTTACTGATTGAGCTTTGTGCGCGCCAAGACTTCGCTTGCGAGAGTGCAGCTGACACTATAAAAATAAGCCGACGATGGATGGTGATGTTCTTTGGTATAGTTTGAGTAGCCTGGGCACCTATTCCACTTGGGAAGGAGACATCTCAGATTACATTTCGCGCGGAGAAAAGATGATGGATGACGGAGGCATGTCTGGATAACTCAGAGTTTTTGAGACGTTTCCCTGGGTGGGTATTCACGGATGAGGGTTGACTTGGAGTGAAGAAAAAGCCACCATAACTTCGCAGTGGTACTCGCAAATGAAATCCGAGGCATGAGTGCTCCTCTTGTAATTTGAGTCATCTTTTCTGTACTTTTCTTTGATATAGTGTCATAGCTAGATAGCTGCATACCCAATTAAAATCTGATGCAAAAAAAAAGAAGAGCCCGTAGGGCGCCAAATCAGGGCAATGAAATCAAATCAAGAACAGGTTTTTCTTAATATACTCAGGACCGGTCGCAACTCTTAATCCGATCGCAATTCCATTTTAAATCGCCTCCACAGCGATCTAACACCCTTACCTCACTTCAGCACCTTATCAATCTTTATCTTCCCACCACCCTCGAGAGATTCAAACCCGTGGACCCATCGTACCGCTGGCGACCATGCCATCGGTACGAGTTACGAAACGCCAGCACTCGCTGGTGGATTACGCCAAGCTCCGACTACGGTCGCGCCTATTGGAGTACGGCATCACCATCGATGAGATGGACATTGATAATGCCGAAGCTGCCATCACCACAAAAGTGATGGATGCCCCGGAGATCGAGATGATTGACAGGGCCGTCGACTAATTCGTCACCAAAGGCCTATCCGACTCCATATGGGCTGCCCCAACTAATTCAGGCAGCTCTGAGCCAAGTCAGAAGACGGAGAAATTGATCCCGTCGCCAACTAGTCCTAGGTTGTCAGCAACCTCATCGAGAAATATCGCAGCCTTGCCCACAAGGCTGCCAGAAACTGACAAACTCACCATGGCTCTATCTAATGCCGCCCGTGATGAATCTCTGGAAAGAGGGAGTGATGCGGAGCAGGAATCGAACATTTCTGTTATGCCAGAAGAGATGGCCGCCCTCGTCGAGAATGAAAAACGACGGGCAGCAGAAGCAGCTGCCAATATCTCAATTTGCTCCTCGACCATTAACGTCGTGGAAAAACACCTTTCTCCCATGCTAACGGGAGAACATAAAAACTTTATTGACTCCTTTCGAGTCTATCTTCGGGCATCCATCGCCCAATTCATCCAGGTAGGGCCCGGGGCCGCCCCACCAGTACTACCTAAAGTGTCAGCATTTTCCCAGGCAAAGCCCACGCCTGTGGAAACTCACCGACCCAGCACTGTGGCTCCCAGTGCTTCTAAAGCTAATTCTTGGGCCGCTATTGTCTGAAAAGAAATTCGGAGAGAAGGAGCCCGGGATAAGGAAACTCGGTCAAAGCTGCCTAGTCCTCCACCTGCAAAATTTTTATCTCAGCCTGGTCATGGATTGAAGGAGCCAGAAGGAAAGAAGAAGGATGGTCTATACTTTCGGATCCCCAAGAATCACGATTGGAGGTCACTTTCGACTGCTGGAATTCGGGTAGCAGTCATTAGTAAGTTTGGCTGGTCCCCGACAAACATTGACAAGATTTTGCCAACAGCAGCTGGCTTCGTTCTTATTACCAAAGATGAGGATGCAAGAAAGCTGCTCTTGAGCTGTGCGGGCCGCCTTCCGCAAGATATTAGCCTCGAGCCAGAAAGAAACTGGGCTAGCCTCATGCTACCTAATATACCCGTCCACATTATCTCGCTGGATGGGCAAGTGACTATTTCGGAAAGCCATATTGTTTCTGAAATAGAACGCATCACTGGGGTGATACTAAAATCCGTGCGGCGGCACGGTAAGAGCAAGTACGGAGCCAGATACCGTAATTGGGTAGCCTTTTTCGAGAGCGGATCTGCCCCTCGAACGGGATTCCGACTTTTTGACGACTCGGGTCGGGCAGCCACAGTCCCGAAGCGTCAAACGCAAGCAATCTGCAAACGTTGCTTTGGGTACCACAGTACCGGCGGCTGCTCTCGGACTCCAGCCTGCCGAAACTGTGGCTCACTGACGCATTCAGAAAGAGAATGTCTTGCTGCAGCTAGATGTCGCAACTGCGGAGGTCCTCATCGCGCAGATAGCCGGAACTGTCTCGCCAGACACACTCGTGCTGAAGCGCTGACTAAGGAGCAGCTTGTCACAATCCGATGTCACAAACCATCACTGGGATGTCGTGTCGCACCCAGGCAACCGAGTTATGACGTGCATACAATAACACAATTTAGGTATTGTAATGGTTACAGTGTTGTGATAGCAACAGTTGCCATTCAGAGTACTTGTTAGTTACTGTGTTATGGCTGTAAACTACTACACCCTTGGTTATAGTATTGAAGCTCGTGTACTTAAGGAAGCTCTAGGACTGGATGTGTACTGTAGCTTTTTGTCTTGTAAATTACTCACGTTTTAGAATCTAATTATTAATCTAAATATCTCGTCCTCATTATCAACTTCTGTCTTCGTCTTCGTCTTCGTCCTCGTATCCGTCCTCGTCTTCGTCCTCGTCCTTGTCTCCGTCTTCGTCTTCGTCCTAGTCGTCGTCCTCGTCTCCGTCCTCGTCTGTGACATCCGAAACGCCGGCAACCGTGAGTTCGAGGCGGTCAGGAGGGCAAAAGCGGCGGCTGACAAAACGCGAGCAGCCAGCCTCGCCAACACTATATCAGGGAGTGTGAGTAGCCTAGGCTCGTCCGCCTTACCACCCACATAAGTCACGCCGACTGATGCCACCCTCCGTTCATGAAAGGCGCCTCACGGCGTCGTTCATCCCTACCAAAGCTCAA